GCCTAAAACTAGTTGCTACACTTACATTCCTTATAAAAACATTTTTGAACAAATAAACAAGATAACTGGTATACTCCGGCTACTCCATCACCTGGCAAAGGTATTTATAGGGACTCTTTGTAGATGAAACAAATGTAGCTAATATGTGTAAATGGCATTTACCTCTTTTAACACTTGACTAGTGATTGTTTCATTACTCCTTAATGGAAAAAATCTAGGACCTTAAATTAATACTTTTGTAAAAAACGGTATGTAGTAAGTGAGGTTTTTTAAGATATATTCAGTAGCTCATTACTGAATTATTGATAAATTAATCACACTGCTTTCTAATGAATGCTAAAAATAATGACTACTAAAGAAAAAGCAACACAATGGTCTCAAAATTAAATCTAGAAAACGTATTTTCTTCAAACAAGAAAAAATAATTTATAATCACTTTATTTATTTTTCAAAATACATATGAAACAGAATTATATTTCAAATGCTTTTCCATTTTCTTTTACAAAAGTAAGCATAAACTGTACGCTTCATAACAGCTTTGAGGTTTCATTGTTACATAATTCATCTGAACCTGACAAATAAGTTCACACATTTTAAAGACGTAAAAATACTGAGATATGTAACATCTTTTAAAGGTGGTTGCAAAACATTTGTTCTAAGTAATACAATTATATGCTGTCAAGTTTCACAAATGGTTGGTTACCATGTACAAAAGCCAGATACATGAATTTCAAAAGATTTTTAAATTGCTGTTCTATGATACAGAAGTCAAAGATACTAATTTGTACAATGGCTACATAGTATATCACAAACTTCAGTTAAAAAGCCACCTTATGAACAATGACGGAAGGATACAAAAAAAAAAGATCAAATATAATGGATCCAAGTTATTCAATGTCATGTATGAAGTAAATAATTTTCATGGTTTCTGCCAGTTTAGAATAACTGACAAATATCTTGGACTATTCATTGGTGGAATCATCATATTTACAATGTGAGATATTTCTTTTCTTTTTTGACTTGTTCATTCTCCATTCTTCAATGGAATTCTCACTTCATGTGTTCCATAATTTACCTGTATTTTGCAGATGAAACCAATCATTGCTCTCAGTTGGAAGGGTCAATTAAAAGTTATTGCCAATGACATAAACTTGAGTTGGACTTTTGTTTATAAGAACTAAAAATGCAAATATTTTGTATATTAGAGTTGGTCTACCTGCTTCTTTCCTACACAGTAATACAATTTATGATGCTGTTCACATTGGGGATTACTGTGCTTTTAAATGGAAAGCTTAAAGGGTCTTTTAAAAGAAAAAACAAAAAGGTATTTAATAAAATCCACAGAACAATCTATATAGATATAAATAGAATAAACCATGCAATTTTTATAGATGATTATTCTGTGACCAGTTTGTTCACAGCCTTAGCGATTATAGGAGGCTTTCTGGTTCACAAACTTTATTCTAAAGCAAAGTCATAGTCAAACATAATTGACGTTTAGACGTTTAGGGAAAACTTTTTTTAATTTTGAAAAAGAAAATAAAAACAAATCCAATGCATTAACCTTACTACATTGGGACTTACTTTTCTTAACAGTGTTTGACTCATTTCAATAATATGCATTATTATCCAATGAATCATTTTTGAGAAAACAAAAACATGAAATTGAATAATTGAAATCCATCACCCTGTACAGGAAATAGGGATCCTGTGCATAGCAGATGCAAATCACAACAAAATTTCTGAAGAAAATGGCCAATTTTTATACCTTTATGACAAAATCAGGCAGTTTGCTCTTTGGAGAGGATCCTTAGGGATTAGAGCTTAGAAGAAATCATTGTCAGTTTGAGGTTAATGTATTTCTGTATAAATACTATCTACTCTTTAGATCCATCAATAGCAAGTTATTTCCAGTGTTTTGGAATAGATAAAAATAGGACTATTCTAATCAATTCTCCTTATAGGAGTATATTTAAATTTTTTTCAGGCATGACGATGCTTATTTTTCCCTTTAAATATCTTCTACTTATTTTTTCAGTCACCATTTCTAGTATCCAAAATGTTTGCGTTCAATAAATCCTTAAGACTCACCTCCACCCTTAATTTAATACTTTCTTTTTGAAGTCTATAGCATGATTATCATGCTATCAGGTCAAACCTTCACAATGAATAGAGTGGAAATAAAAACAATTTTTTACTTTGATGAGAAAACACTTGAACACAATATTAATTAATACCACTGTTCAAATACACATTTTTTTGGTTAACCGATATTGACAGATGACAAGTATTACCAATGCATCCTTTATTAAATTACTATACACTTTAACATAAGACTGAGCAAATATTGGAAAAGTCTTTTAATGAAATAGAAAATTCTTACCTTAAAGAGTATCACTAAATAACATACTGGAAACATTTTGTTTAATTAGCTCTCTTTCCCATGTAAAATATATACTCATTAATTTCTTTTAAATAATGGGTCTTAGTAGGTTCAGATGAATCATATCCTGAGCCATGTCACTGAGTAACCATTAAAATGCTGTGTCATGGGTTTTTTGAACAGTGTTAGAAGGTTTACTTTCCCCTTAAAAGTTGAAATACAAAGGTGGTTTTGATTTTGCATATGCTTTAACAGTCTATTTTATTTCCATATGCTTTAACATCTCTGTTTAATTGTTTAACTATATAGATTCTTAATTTAAATGATTTAACTTGTGCAGGGAGGGCATAGCTCAAGTGGTAGAGCACATGCTTAGCACACACCAGGTCCTGGGTTCAATCCCCACTACCTCATCTAAAAAATGAAAAAAAAATAAGTAAAACCTAATTACCTCCCACCCCAAAACAAATTAAAATTTTTTTTTTAATTAGAAAAAAAACAACTTAACTTTCCATGTTTTTGTATCCTTTCTTATTAAAGGCAGCAATAAATTCTTGGTCTACAAACTCTAAAAGTTTAAATCAACTAAAGTGCATCAGAACAATCAGAGATGTTTCAAGAAAAAGTTGTAAAGAAAACAGATTTAGTGGAGAATGCATGACTTTCTAAAATCCTGACAACTCTAGTTTTTTCTTTTTTTCTAAAAAATTATCAGGTAATTAAATTATAAGATGGAAAAAAAAATATGGAACCCTATTCCATGAAAATATATGTCTGAGATGATAATATCAAGTATTCTTTTTAAAGAGGTAAAGAAATAACCATGTGTTCAATGTTAAGATTCTGAGTCCCTTTATTTGTTCTAGTCTCTGGCTCTTTTGACAACTTATTCAGAAATAAGTTAGATTTTGTTTCATGGATAGTAAAGGTTGAGGAAGAAGTGAAATTTTGGCTTTTTCATTTGTGAAGCAATCAATTGTTAAATGAAAGCCTTAAGAAATTGATAAGTTCTTTATCATGTCTCCAAATTTTAAAATAACGAACGTTACAGAGCAAGCACAGGCGGAATGTCAACTAAATATCACAGCCAAATAGGTTCAAATATATTTTTCTTTATCTAAAACCTGAGTCAGTATTGATCAGTTGCGATCTCCCTGCAGTAATTAGAACATGCACACGCTCCCAAAAACTGCATAAGAAAGTGGGTGCCTGGTTCTGTGTTCCCATCTCGAGATCCCTGGCACTACTCCTGAAAATATGTTTACTGAGCTGTGAATGTATTAATATCATACGTTTTATATGTAAATCAAAGTATCAGAAACAGGGCTGGCCTCACAAAAAAGTTAAAATTGTCAAAAAAAAAAAAACATTATTCAGAAACTAGTGTAAAAAGGCGTCTATCTACTGTTCAGATTTTTGTGAGAAGACTGTATATCCACAAACCAATGTTTTTTCATACTCAATTTCCTATTCTCCTAATTACTTAGTGAGTTAGGTTAAATAAGTAAATAAGTAAGTAATTAAATAAATAAATAAACAAACAAAATAAAAAATAAAGCAGACAAACAAAAAAAGACATCAGTGTTGTTACTCTAATGAATCAACAGTTGTTCATTAGAGTTTTTGTTTTTTAGATTTATGTTTGGCACATCCCTGAATAAATCCCTGAAATTAGGTATTCATAATATATATACCTAAGCTGCAATTTCAAAATGTGTCAATGCTGTCATTAAAATACAATGTCTCACACAAATTAATGGAGAATATTTGTAACATCAAATCTTATTTTAAATAATAAATGAAAAATATTCCATCTTCAATTACAAGTAGAAAGAGGGTAAGTTACGTTTGCACAGATGTGTGGCTATGCAGAATGAGGGCACGTTGTATTGCAAATGGTAGGATTACATTTTTATAATATGAACTATCATTTTTAATAATGCGTGAAATCTGAGTTGTGAATTTTCTCTCCTTAAGCTCTCTCAAGGATTAACAAATACTCAGCCGTGATGGTTTATTCTAATTTCTAGGAAATTTTTTTTAAATTACTTTAAACAATTATTTTAATCTATAATAGCCATATTAAAGTCCCCTGGTTGGCTGGTTGGTTGCATTTTTCCATCATAAACATTGACTTTCTCTCCATAGGAGGAAAAGAAAAGCATGAGCTTCTGAGAATAAATAAAAGTCCTTAAAATATGTTTTCAGGTGAAAATAATTATTACACTAAAGTACGAAATATAGTTGCTAATTAATGGTAAGCTGAAGCTATTCCTACAAACAATCATCTCCAAAAACGTCATTCTATTAAGCCTTCCCCTTTGACTATTTTACTTCTCAATAAAACAGAGAGTTACAAAATGGAAGTGTCGTCTTCGGTCTTTCTGGCGACAGCAAGTGGTTCTTTTAGGCTTGATAAGGTAACCAGGTATTTTCAAAGAGGTTTCTTTGATTATTTTCAACTAGAAAATGTTAACCAGCAATACTTGTTTTCATTAATATAGCACAAGTAGTTTTGAAAAATTTTAGGGAATTGTGTTTGCCTTAAACGTGACTGTGTAAAATATCTACATTTTAGTTACTGGTAATACCACCATCATATGAGGGATGCCAACACACAAAATGTTAAAACTTTTTATTTTTTCCAATATTTAGAAATAGGAGATTTTGCTAAAATCAAAATTCTGTAATTGCTGATAAAATTTTCTCATGCAGATGACTATGTTTTTATGTTCTAACTACAGATTTTCTTGCCTTTTGGGATTCTTGGGGGGGACTCCTTTAACTTTCCATCTTGAGATAAGCTTGAAAGATACACTATCCATGGCACTGAACTAAAAAGTAAGGTTGGGATCATTCAATATAGATACCTTCCAATAGGGCCCAGCAATGAGACAATGAAAGATTGGCATGATTTAAAGGAAAGTTCTGTCATGTAAAAATATTTGCATAGTTTTTACAACTAGTGGTCTGATCCTTGACCCTCATGAAAGCAAATGCCTTTCATAAAAAGACAGTGGGTCAGGGCCTTCAGAGTTTTTGTTTATTTTTATTAAATGTTGAAGTTGTATTATTTATGGTATAGTTCTATAATTTGCTGAAAAATAACTCATCCTTTCTTTAAGAAAATATCCTCTTCTAAGGATTAGCTAGCTTCTGATTGGGTTTAAAAGTCACCATTACTGCATACAGTCCACACAAGAGCACAGACATTTATTGTACCTTTGGTGTCTGTTATACCCAGAAATACAGGATCTATGTGATAGCTTTGTGTCACAAAATAAATATGTCACAGTACTGGAGAAACTTACAAACACTTACGAGTTCTGATTCTATTCACTTAAGAATACTAATGCTACATTTGAGTGTCAGAGTAACAGAATCTTTAAAATACCAGTTAAACAGTGCTATAGATATTTGAACTAATACAATTTTAAGACAGTATAAAATAACCCAAATGGCTCAATCTCTATTTTCCAGCTATTAAATATTACTCTTAAATTTATGCTCAAAAACGTCCTTTAAATTACAGATTTTTCTCTCTATCTTAAAGAGTGAGCTTGAAAGAAAAAGTTTTGAGTTTAGCAAGAGCCAAACCTCACCAAGGAAAGATTCTGCTGAGAATGAAAGAATGTATTATCAGACAAGTAATATTAATTTGATTATGTAAGGGTTTAATACTGTGAGAGTGAAGTTCAAAGTTTCCATTAAAGTTTATATAGAACCATGTACACAACTAGAAATGAACATAGTTTTAACAAAGTCCAAACCGTACACATGTGACATGTGCTACTTTACGCAGCAGAAGCATTAACAATACTTAATTTTAGGTAAGTATGGATTCTTTTGAAAAAAATGTATTTCCTTGCTTATGCAAAGAATTTACAACTTATTAAAACACTCTGTGCTAACAGGCTTATGGCACGAAGAATAAAATGCCTTATGTAAGTAAGAACCATTAATATTCAAGTAAAATACACCAAGATGTCCAAAGTTAATAAGCAGACAAAAAAAGTGAAAGTTGCGCACGAAGTTTGTTCATGATCAGGATACATTTTAAATGAGGAAATCAAACCTCTCACTCTTTTCTGATCTGCTGAGTACACGGTCCTGCGTCCTTACTATAATGGTCTTATTTTGGAGGCATTACGGTGTGGAAGGTGGTTTGGGAGATGAACAGGATCCTTGACTATCAAAACTGGTCGCCCGGCCAGGTAACTGAAAGATAATAATTTCATCATTTAGTGTAAAAAAGAAAAGTGGGTAGTAGTTGTTACCTTCTAATAGTGAATATTCACGCATGACAGGCAAGTCTCTGAAGAGAAGACATACATGATCCTCCGTGCCGTTCAGAACTCACCTTCTCAGGTAACGTAAGGAAACACAAGCATCTCGCAGAGATGTAACAGAGCATGGTACGTGGATGGCTTTGCACAGCAACACTGTGCAGGCGCAGTTCATGACTGCAGATTCATTTCACATTCTATGACAGGCTTTTAGCCCTTATTGTAACATAATTAATGATTTACCGTAGCTGGGGTAACTGCCAGGTAAGAGCAAGACGGTTCATGACACAAGAGACTGCATTCCACTTGCTCTAAGGCAGGAAGTGACTTTCATAGGGGCAAATCAATGAAATGAGAGGGACTGAGTTTGGAGAATGAGAGCCACGGATGATAAATTACAACTTCTCACAGTCCCTAAACGTTAAATGTGTTTGGAAAGTTTAATTACAACAGAATAAACTTTTGTATCTAGGTAGATGCAGTCAGATTTTCCAAAGGATGCTTTAGTCTCTGTCTTAGCAACTTACACAGCTCTTGAATAACTGCTCCCTCCTTATTTTAATCCCTGCTCTGGCAACAAGACACATACTTACACACTCATCAGTTTCCCAAAATGCAAAATCCAGCCTGTTCTCAGGTTTCTGGTCCCTAGGTTCTGCTTGACCAGTGATGTGGATGTGTGAGTTGACAAAAAGGAGCTATTTGCTAGAGAAAGTCCATTTACATAATCTTTTTGGCCCACTTGTCCTCTGATAGTCAGCTGCTAAAAAAAAATACCTGGGCTCTTCTGATGTCCATATTGTAGCTTACTCTTCCTGTGTGTCCTATGGTGACAGTAGTGTCCCCATGTTCTCAGACACAAACACATGCCTGTTCCATAGCTCTCCTTCACCACATAAATGTGTAACTGCTTATTCAACAGTCATAAATAATTATAATACGCCTTGGGTAACACAACCGGTCCTTTCATTAGTTAAAAGTTGCTGATCACATTAGCTCATTTCTCCTTGCGTCATTCCTGTGGACTCCGTAGGAGGCGCATTTCTGTTTTCATTAAACACAGAGAAATGTCGCTGTAGACATTGTAAGTGGTCTGCCCAGGATTAGGCAGCCAGCCAAGCAAGGTACTCTCATGTCTAGGCTCTTAGAATTAATATTCACCTTTCAAACTTTAAATAAAAACAAAGCTGACAATCAGGAAAAGGATGATAAAGCAGCAGAGTAGACATTATACTGTAGACAACGCACGTTGTCAAAATGAAACGACCACCTGGCTGAGGTGGACTCAGGGCTTGTTGAGCTACTACCCGGGGGAAAGTGCTGGGTGAACGTGCTTTTGTGTGTATTTAATGTGAATCATACAAGATTTACGTTAAATGACGAAGTGAGGTAAAGATCTGGAACATTAACATACAAAAACACGTATCTGTGATGGCGGTTCACGTCTGTTGTCTGAGCATGTGCTGTTTGTACAGTGTTTGTTGAATCTTCCCTATAAATCCTGAGTCACAGGCCGCAGTCACATTTCTGTGACTAAGCTAAGCTTAGAACCCAGGCCCATGGACATTTAGTTAACTCCACTGCCCTGCCTCTCCTACTCAACCTGCTGCCTGGACAAGCAGCAGGATCTTGTCGATGGGCGAGACGGCGCTGTATCCTGCACCCACTACGTGGTTATCGATAACTTGTTACTGAATTGCATAAATTTCATCCTCTATTCCATACATCCTTTTCTCAACCTGTATTACCTCTCAACTAATCAGGTCATATAAATTACTTCCTTTGTGACTCTTTAAGATACATTCAGTGTATTGAGTAGACTGACAATTAACTTCATGGCTAAAAATCCTGCTAGAAACGGATACTGATATTTCTCCTGGCTAATATAACCATTAACATCAGTTGCAATCAGAGCAAACCTGTGCAGTAGTCTGGACTAAGCACTTAACATTCAGCATTTTGTTTAGTCTTACTCTTTGAGTTTACTGTATTACAGAGGAAAAGCAGAAACGTGGAGAAGACAAGTTTTGCCCAAGGTTCTCCAATATGTAGTCACACAGCAGACAGAGCCAGGCTTTCAACTCCTGCAAACTAATGCCTCAGTATTCTAAAAACCTGTGAGGCCTTTCACTCCCTGAGCACAGCGGGGGCTGCGTACATGCCCCCATACACAGATGAGCGGTGTCAGATGACAGCGCCTCTGTTGAGGGCTTCTGAGGAGGTGCAGTGAGGCGGCTGCTTTCACGAAAGGCAAGCAGCAATCCTATTTCCAGTGAGCAATGAATTTAGTTGATTTCTCCATCTTTCACTGATATAAGTCTTCATACTATGCCAAGAAAATCACAGACTTGCAGTTTTTATGGGCTTACTGTCAAAAGGAATACCAAACTCAGAAAGTTTAGTGGTTTTTACAAACCAGCAAGGCACACAGAACCTTGCATACTGGATTATAGAGTCTGTGGGACCAAAGCAAGAACAATGCCTGTTTTTTTTTTAAGTGAATATATAAAATGTCAGTGAAATGTTAGCAGATAAATAATATCTAAGCAATAGATTAAAAAGAGAGCAGACGTCAGAGAGCCCCAGCGCTCACCTCCAGCAAGGGATGCCAGTGTGTTATCGGCTTGCGGTGATAAGCCAGCATCTCGTTCCAGTGGTCTCGCCCAAGACCCTCAGCGTCCAGTCCTGCTCTACACACTCCTATGACCTCGTTGTGTCCCACCCTATGATTTGGAGAATATTATGCTTTCAGTCCAAATTTCAAAGATTAATGAATTTTTGTACACCTTAGCTGCATTTTAAACATATGATTTAAACGGTAGATTCTGTGATAAGTTCTACATAATTTTATGTATTAAACTAGGTTCAGGTCACATGAAAAATCTTAAGTAACCTAGAATTTACTAAACAGGATTAGCCTTCAAAACTGAACCTATAAAAGGAACACACACAACAATTTCAGCGCCTGTAACTTGAGCACACTTCACAATAGGAAGAATGGTGTGAGAGAGAAATGACAGCAGGTCCTTACCTACGTGATGAGTTTCTTCCTTGGAAGCAGACCTATTAACTTTAAGTGATGTCAGTCAAATATCATTCTTTCCAAAGGGCCTGGATTTCTCACCAAGAGTTTAAGACCCACTTTCTTGTATAAATAACCATAATTAATTGACTCTAAATCGTATGTCAGTGAACATTACTGCTTGCACCACAATTAAACAGGGCAGGGCTATGTTCAATACCACGGCATTTGACTTATTTTTGCACAGCACCCAAAGCATACTGAACAACATTCTTATTTTCTATTCATGTCTTGTTTTCATAGCAACAAATCCAAATAATGATAACTAATGTTTCTGAGAGCTTATTATGTGCCAGACACTGTTCTAAGTAATTTAAATATACTGACTCAATCCTCACACCATGACCATGAATATCATTATCATCATCTCATTTTACAGACAAAGAAACCAAACACCTAGAAGTCAAGGGACCCACTCGCCTTTGTACACTTAGTAAGAGGCAAAGGCAGGACCTGAGCCAAGCACATTTGTAGTTAGGTTGTGTCTCAAGAATGGAATGTAATTTAAAGGCATTTTCTCTGGGGTTATTCGGACAGACATCTCTAAGGAGACTTCTCAGATAATTGTAGGACTTTTCACTTCTTTTTGCCTGTCATTGATGTAGAAATGTCCTTAATATGAAGTTTCCCAAACAAGTACGTTTTTCAAAATCACTTTGAAAAAATTTTTCTATTTTATATACTGTCAGTATCCATTTCCCTAAAATTGTTTGGGTGACAAATGCTCAATTGTATCTACCTTAATCTGTGCTGTGAGAAATTAATAGGAGTAATTTTTTGGGAAAACAGAATGATGACTTGTGATGAAAACATTACAGCATTTTTAGAGTTTGCCATTTCAACTAATTCAAGATTTCTCTTTCTCTCTCATTCTTTAAATAGTGATGGCTTTTTTGTATACAGTGATGTAAACTAATTTCAAATAGATGGTATAAATAATTTTCTTTTTCAGTGTTTCATTTTTCTAGCTCTCATCCAGAGGATACAGTTTAATGTCTCTACGTTATAGGGTCCTGATTACTAAAGGTTGCACAATAATATAAAATAGACACTCTTTGAATACTTGTGTATGTTTATTCTGTACCATTTGTGTTATCATTAGGACAAAATAAATGTAGTAAGACATTGTCTACGTGCTTAATTCTGTAGGTTAAACATACAAGATTCCTTTCAAAAGTCTTATAAATATACAAAGCAAAATAATCAGAACAATATAGCAAGGGCCAAATAAGAGACATAAATCTTCAGTGGGACAAAAGTTCAGAGGAGGAAGAGGCTGGTTAGCCGAGAAGGACACAGAAGTGGTGACCTGATCAGGGCCGAGCAGGGCAACATTTCAGACAAGGAAGGGAATGGGAGCTACAGCAGGATGAGGCTTCAGAGCTGCACTCAGGAGTCTGCCATTTGCTTTATGAAAGGGGAAGTGATCAGAGGGTGTGAGCTGGCAGAACTACCCACAAAGCGATGTTTTATTAAGACTGGTGGGAAAGCATCAAGGCAGTATCCTTGTGGACACCATTCACCGTCCACTCTTAATACCCACTGTTCACAGGTCCACATTGTGCTCAGGTTTTACAAATGGACAAGCGACTCTCTAAGGGACAACTCGCCCTTTCACATGACCAGTTAACAGTGGAGCTCAGGTAAATATCATGACATTCACATTCCAGCCCAGCTGGGAAAGCAAAATTGGCTGATCATAATTTCTGTTGTTACTATAAAAAGACTTCACAAAAGAGCTTTCTACAACGTTATCATACAACTTCCACACTCGTTCTCTCACCAGCCCAGGTATCCTGTCCTTAAGAATGACATCTTTGGGGAAAGAAAAAAGAAATGTTATAACATGGGGAAAAATGAATTTTGAATGAGTAATTTTTTCCCTCTTCCAATTTCAATGAAAACTGTTAGAGCAGAAAATAACCTGAAAAGTTGAACTGGATCTACATATGACTAAACGTAGCTGAGCAGAGAGATGAACACACCTGTCGTAATCCATGACTGCAATGGAGAGGCTGACCTGGTCCACGTTCTCTGGAGGGATGTCGAAAACAATGGCCTCATTGTACACGGGGTTCAGAGTGTTTTTCTTTGTAGTTGTTTTTCTCTTTTTCAATCTTCGACCCTCACACATCAGAGACACTTTGACATAAGGATCTAGGAATGGGACGGCAATTTTATTAAAATGAAAGTAATAGTTCAAAGCGTAAGTAAAACCGTGGTTAATTGTTACTAAATAAGGAAAGTGATATATTAAGCCCGTTAGTATTACCAGTTTTAAATTCAAATGACTTAGCTGGGGGCCATGGACTCTCTAAAACTTCTTGCTTTAAATGGAAGAACTTATCTTGAATGAGCTAGAAAAGAATCAACTTGACCACCGTGTTTACTAATGTTTAAAACTCACTAGTTTATCAAGAGCCAATCAAACCTGTAACGTTTCTTTTAGTCACAGCTATTGGAGGGCGTGTTTTGTCCCAGGTGACTTCTAGGGCATGTGATCCTAACAAGAAGATGTGACTGTATTAAAGTTAATTTCCTTCACAGTGATTTAGAATAAGAAGACTAAAACTTACGAAAGAGCAACATTGTATTTCAACAAGTATACAGGATCACAATGAACTGAAATTAGCAAAAACTATATTCATTAGAACCATTTTGAATTGTTGGAAAAAGTACTAAACTTAGAGGTGCCATTTTATAGTCAGAGGGCTTAAGAAGGAGTTTGGATTGAAGGAATGATTACTATACATCATTTATTAAATGCTCAACAGCATACAATTTAAAAAAAGGTGATATTTGGTTTACAGATGTCCTCAAGGAACTTTCCTGAAATGCACTGCCTGTGTATGACAACAGGAAAGAGAAAAACTCAGCTGGAATTGAACTATATTTTTATGGGCCAAAGAGGTCAAATAATTTTTAACAAATTCTACCCCAGTTGACTGACTCGTCTCTACTCTCTTATTCCTGCTACCTTAATAATAACAATAATAATAGTTTTTTAATAATATTTTTCTACTATTACAGTATTGTAGAAAATTATATAGTACCAATCAAAAGTTTCTTTTAAAAGCCTTACTTTTTGCACCTTGTAATACAAAGGAGGCATCGTTTTGGGAGGGAGTGTCAGCACTGGGGTGAGTGTGCTACTTGGTTAAAACAATCAGTGTCTGTTCTGTCTTCATTTTTTTTTTTTTATTCTGGTCACTCTTCAACTGTAGCACCACTACCTCTTTTCCTCTTTTCATTAATGGAATAATAAGAAAAAAAGTCTTATTTCTTTAGAATAAGCCAAAAAAACACGGCAACGTTATTTGAGCAAATGAATGCTTTTTATGCTCTACAAAAATGTATCTGTATTATTTCACAAGCATTTCTACTAATGGGCAAAGACGTATTTTGTGGCTAGTAATAGGGTATAAAGAGGAATACAAGGCAAAAGAGCAACGTTCAGTGGCTGTTTCCTATTTACCTTTCAGTTTTTTTAACAAGAGGAAGTATGTTCTAAGGAAGAAGCTCGCTTTTGTGGTACACTTTTGTATAGGCCTCTCATCAATAGTGGGAACGAGGCCTGGTTTGTCATTTGCTGCCCCCGTCATGTCTCTGATGACAATTCTCTACTAGTGACAAAGATAATTCATTGGCTTCTTAGTTGATTTACAAGCCTGTTGTAAGAATTAATGAGGTGATGTTCTTAAAGCAGGCATTCCCTCAATGAGAAGCTTCATATAAATAAAAAGTAGTCTTGCACTCAATGACAACTTCAGTGCTGTTTGCTTGTCTCAAAATTTGGTTCTCTTATGATACATGACAGAAAGAGTAAAATAATTTGCACAATACACTACTTATCTTTAAGTTCTTCAACATTTACTTACCTAAGAGCTTTTCACCAAAAAAAATATGGAATTTACTTACTTCCTCGGTATCTTTATATTTCAACTATGCACTGCAGATTTTAAAAAACGAAGAGTAAATTCATGACATAGTTCAAAAATGAGGTAACAGAGATCGATGTGCAATGAGAAGTGCCCTCTCATCTGTCCCCATACCTCTCCACCTCTTAGTTTTTATATCACTTAAGTATTTCTCTATGCAGATATTAGCAACATGAATATATACTCCAAGATTCCCATTCGTACGTAGAGGGGAATTATATATTTATGCCTGCACCTCAATTTTTTATTCACTTAGTATACTCTGGAGTTCCTTCTACACTAGACCTTAGAGTTCCTCCTACTTTTTTGTGATGCAAATTTAGTCTGCTTTTTTTGTTCTGAAGAACCAAACAGCTATTGACCCCCCTCCCCATGTCATCCTTTAATATATCTATACTATTATTTGTTATTATTGAGTTATAGTCAGTTTACCATGTTGTGTCAATTTCTGGTGTACAGAACAATTTTTCAGTCATTTTTTTAACTGAGTTATAGTCTACTACTATTTATTTGTTTAATTTAACAAATGCTTACTGACCTCCCTACTCTGCCCTTATCGTTTCTTGCTTCCACAGAGCTGGGCCAGAGTTCACCTGTTAAGTTATAAATAACCCTCTACAACTGAGGTGACTTAAATGGAGGGACTAAAGAGAATGATGTGGTTTAACTACTTTATCAAAGTTAGCACAAGAGAAATTTCCTTCAAGAATGTCTTTAAGAAACGTCAAGAAGTGTTCATTTACTCTATTATTTCTTTCAGTCCCTACTGTTGTCCAAATTTTTCATGAGAAAAGTGTTAAGAATACAAATGCAAATGGTGGTTTTGGAAACTTGTTATTTCTCTGCAGATCAAGTGAAGGAGATGAATTTGGTCTAAATATGTCTTCATGTGGCTCTTACTGGTAGATTAATGCAAGTTTAAGCTGAATGGCTCAAAGTCCAAGGATCTTCCCTTAATAAGCAATTGACTAGCTGGAAGTAGGGAAGTGTATGGTAAATGATTTATTTTTGAGAAAGAATGACATCAGCAGAGAAAGAAATAAAAAGAGAACCCCAAGTTCAAAGTCAATCAATTTGATGATACCTTTAAAAAAAGTCACAATGGTAAATTAAAGAGGTGTTTGGAGCACGTCATTTGGTAATCTTTTTCTCCTTCTATAGTATCCCACGACAGACAAATGAACTCAATACTTCAACAGCGATATAGAATTTTGGCTAGGTACAGTATTTTCTTTGGGAATATACTCTTGACCCACTAGCCAATTGTGTTCATACCTGACGAACCAGTGATATCCATGGCCTTCAGATTTCTGCACTTGATGACTGTCAATGTCATACGTCCAGCAGTTGGCAAATAACAAAGGGAAAACATGATTTCACCCAGGTCTATACTGTCCTAGAAAGACAATCAGTCATGTTAGCAATTTCAAATACCAGATGGTGAAAACAAAATATAATTGGTGAAAAATCACTTTAATGGAGTATTTGAGTGTCATTCTAAATTGTTTCTAATTGAGAATACAGATTACATTGCAAAAAAAGTGTAGTAAAAAGGGGAAGAAGAAAGTCAAGATGGTGGAGTGGTAGGACCACGAGCTCGCCTCTCCTCGCGACTACAACAAACCATCGAAAAAAAGACTGGAACCTAGCAAAAAAGATCAATGCCTGCAGAGCTGGTGGACAAATGAAAACGAGCATGAACAATTTAGGATCCTTCTCAAAGAGTTGTTTACAGGATTTAATCAAATTATCCCTGGAAAGACAATCTGTGGTAGATTTAATATGGCGGGAAATAAATTGCTCTGCATCCAGGTCCATAGAATTAGGTTCTTAAAAGTTCTTCATGAACTATTAACCTTTGTTGGACGTATTCTTATAGCTCAGGTTCTGATTTATGTAATTCCCATTTCTTTATTCATGGTCTAGAAGTAGCAGGGCCTAGTAATTAAGAACATAAATTTTAAAGTCAGTTAAACTTGAGTTGACTCCTGTTCGCTACTTCTTAGCTGTGAGATCCTAGGAAACTTAATTAAGCTTTGAATATCTGAAACTTCATTTTCAGGTTGAGGAAAATGCCACTCAAAGGGGTTTTAAGTCATTAATTGAGATAATGTAAATAAAGCCCCAGCTATTTAACACAGTGTCTGGCATATGATAAAGCACGTTATTTTCTCATTGCTGTATTGCCGTCCCATGGAGCAGTACTTAACACAGATCAGGTGTTCAGAAACACTGGATAAGTAAGAAAAAATTAATAAAGAAGAGCAATTTTTTGAGAAAATTATTAAGAAAGCAATTATGTAAAAATATATCCAAATGGGTCTCCTCTGGGCTGCTGGATTACTGCAGATCCAAAATAGTGAGCAAGAGCTAAAAGGAGAGGGTTGGGGGAAAACAGGAAGTGTACACCCTCCTACTGGGACTCATTCTTTCCACCACAAGGCAATTACTGAGCCTCAGATGTTAGATGCACTGGAAGATGCTGCACAAACCAAAATAGAAACGGTATGACTCTGCCCTTGAAGATCCTGGTTGAGGAGGAAGAGAGAGGGCTATAAAGAACTACG